TCTAAACTCATTTACTACTCTAGATTACAATTACAATCTTTGGGGCAAAAGATCAATAAATGAACAAATAAAAATAAAAGATAAGATACATGTGATAAGTCAAATAATGATACAAATAACTAAATAGAATGAAAAGATAAGATATAAATTCTAAAAAGAAAAAGATAAGAATAAAAATAAATAAAATTCGTTAATGAACCATTTCTGAAGTATTTCTGAACCGTTGTTGAACTATTTGTGAACTGTTATTGATTTTGGGGTTAATTACTCATTGATGCTCTTAGAACATTGCAAAAATATTATAAGAACATTGCAAAAACGTTATTGAATCGTGATTGAATCCATAACTGATACACCAATTATATTATTCAAGATCACATATTGTCCAAAGATCAATTGATTGGTCGCATTTTCCAAGTTTGAAAAAGTATGAAATTAAAGAAATTTATGTTACTATGGTAATAATACTCATCTTTGAATTCTATAGACTCAGCTTTTACTATTTCACAATACATTTTGTACATTAATGGGTGAAAAAATAATGTTTCAGCGAGATAATGTCCTGATTCATACTGCAATCAAAGTTAAAAAATGGTTTGAGGAAAAGAAAATCAAGATTATGGATTGGCCAGCAAATTCTCCCAACCTTAATCCTATAGAAAATATTTGGAAGCTATTTAAGAATAATATTCAAAAGTGCAAAAACTTTTCAAGAACCGTGAATGAGCTCAAAGCTGCCTTAAAGAAGGAGTGGTCAAAATTTGATGTCAATATTCTTAGGGAGGTTATTGACTCAATATTAAGAAGAATTAACGTGGTATTAGAGGTAAAAGAGGGTCAACAAAACATTAATTAAATATGAAATAATTTTTTTTATGTATAATATGAAAAAATAAAATAAATCTAAATTTTATTTTAAGTTTTATGATAATTGAAAATTGGGCATTACATTTTGAGGCGACTGTACATGCATATTGTTACAGGTATTGCATGTATATCAATACATTTTGTCATTTTATTACAAAAAGATTTTTTTTACATAATATCATATCAAACCTCAATATCATCTTAATCAATTAATATTTGAACAATGTTCTAGTCCATCAACCCATCCACACCTGATATACTGTATCTATATATATATATATTTTGCTGATCAAAAATGAACTGATAACTTGTCTGATTCACTCATCAACAACCTCCTTACCATTTCATACTTTATATGATTTCGATAAATTGACATATCAAAATTATCAAAGTCAAATTCTCAATGCTCGTTTATAGTCAGCAAACAATATTGTATGCATATCACAGTCGTAACCATTTGGCCGTTACACTAGGGAACAAGTTGACTGTCCATTCATCCCAGTCTGACTGTTGTTTTTTTAGAACTCTATGAACTTCAAGAAATTCTGAAATCACAGCAGACAAATCAGTTTAATTATCAAGTTTTTAATGAAAGAAACGAACTAACTTACCGGTCCAATGGATTGAGTTCCACCAAATCATGCACCGGAGTCATACACATTTATTGTTTTTTCATTTAAATTGATCACAGCACGTACTCAATGGCCACTGAGATGCACAAGAACTAAGAGTTTGTCTTTTTTGAATAGATCTGATACCTATATTTCATAATTACATGAATGAATTTATTATATAAATGAAAGTTTGTTATAAAGCAAGCACATGTTGACCAAAATAATTACATTATTATTACTGAGCCGTTTTTGATGTTTCCTTTCTCAACTAGTGTATAAAAATACATATTAGTCATAAACACATCTTGTTGATTTGACAGACCCGGTGAATATGTGTGTGCCGGAGGGGGGGACGTCATATGCAAAATAGCAATTAAATTTTTTATTAATATTAAAGTAAAAAATAAGCAACAAATTATTTTTAATGAAACAGAATATTGTTCTAAAACTCTTCAATAGTTTTATTTGCTTTGGTGTTTCATCGATTTGTCAGTTTTCTTATTATCTTCAATTTCGTGCGGTATACTAATTTCGAATTCTGTTTTTATTAAAGGATTAATAAAGAAATTGATAAAAAGAATATCAAATGTTTAATTTACCTTCATTCGGAACAAATAAACGAATACTTGTAGAACCTAAAGAATTGAAATTGATTTTGAAATAAAGATTCGACTGGTGTAAACTGCATTTGGTGAATTTCTCTATAATGGTAGAAATGCATTTTTGTTCTCTCTCCTCAAGACCTTTCCATTTCTGCTGTTCTAATTCAAGAAGCTCTTTAATTTCTCCATCTGTTTTAGGATATTTTAAACAATTGTAGTACTGAACATGCAAATTATTCAGCTTGAACTCCCAATCGTTTTTAATGATATCTTTAATATAGTAGATAGACCGGATAAAGCGTTCAACTTCCTCAGCAGTTGGTCTATTTTCTGGAATAGGATCCCAACATTTTTTAATAATAAATTTGTAAAATCCGGGTATAGATTTGGAATTACAGGTCGTATTCCTTTATAGATGTCATATACAAGATAATAATCATGACTTCGCTCACTAAATGGTCGTTCACTTGTTACAATTTCGTATACAACCATACCAAAGCTGTAAATATCTGCAGCGGTAGTGTATGACTTTCCATTTAGCACCTCTGGACTCATATAGGGAAGTACTCCACAAATTTTTTGGTTAGATTTTTCTATATCTGCTTGAATGCTAAGTCCAATATCAGCAATTTGAGGAATATTCCAATTTAAACGCCATATGTCCGATATTAATATATTTCCAGGATGAAAATCATGATGTATGAACTTTTCTCTATGAATGGCTGCCAGATTACTGATAATATCATTTAATTTGCCTTTCCAAGTCAATTTTCTATAGTTGGAATTAATATATTTACGGAGGTCGCCCTTTTCTGCAAAATCCATCACTATCGAATATTCATTTGTAACGGCGTTTTTAGTTATTCCATGATATTCAACACAATTATAATAAATAAATTTAAAAGCAGACTGAATCTATTTTGAAAAATTAATAGATAAGAAAAACGCAACTTTTACTTTAGAAAACGTTCTTTCATTACCTCGTGTATAAACTCTTGAGTAATTTGGTTTGAATTGTGCAACGATTTCAACATAACTTTTCTTTCTCCCTGTCGTATAAATTTATTTTCTTCATGATCCCATTTGAGAGAGTATTCATTGTCATCATATAATACTGGTTCATCCAACCAGATTGTTTCATAAATTGACCCAAAACTTCCTTTTGTAAGCAACTTTACCTTAAAATGTTTATTTTTACCTCGTCTATAAATTCTGGTATAAATTGCTTTGAATTGTGTAATGATTTTAATAAAACTTTTCTTTCACCTCTTCGAAAAAATTTATTTTCTTCATGATCCCAATATTTAGTTAATGGTCCATCCAACCAGGTTACTTTATAAATCGACCCAAAATCTCCATTTGCAAGATATTCAACGTCGGTAAATTTGTCAAAAGGAATCCATTCGAATATATTTTCATATTTGTAATTAATTTTATTGCATTCTTTTATTAGATTGTCGGTACCTTTATCTCCGCTAGACAATTCTTCGTTATAAATTCGTTTGTGATATTTGAAACAGTCATCGCACGTGTCCCCATTTTGACATCCAATACATTTGCCACAATCATGAATATTGTGAACTAAACATTCATCGCAGTACTTATCTTCTTGACAACGCAAACATTCACTACAATGTTGAGTATTTGATTACATTTTAGAGCTCACTTTATATTTGTGAAGTTCACCATAGAATGTATGCATTACTATCAAGTGATTGTTTGTAACTGGATTTTTAGTTATTCCATAATATGCTATCAAGTTGCCGTAATTAAGCATTTAAGCCCCGTTTGAATCTATTTTTTGAAAAACTTGATGTCTTAGAGAAAGACAACTTTCACTTTAGAAAATATCTATTTTTTACCTCGTTTATAAACTCACGAGTAATTTTCTTTGAATTATGTATTGATTTCAACATAACTTTTCTTTCTCCCTGTCGCATAAATTTATTTTTTTCGTGATCCCATTTGAGATTGTCATCATCATATAATACTGGTCCATCCAACCAGGTTGCTTTATAAATAGACTCAAAACCTCCATTTGTAAGATACTCAACGTTGGTAAATCTTTCGAAAGAAATCTATTCAAATATATTTTTATAAAAATATTTAATTTTGTTGCATTCTTTTATGAGATTGTCGATATCCTTATCTCCGCTATACAATTCTTCGTTATAAATTCGTTTGTGATATTTTAAACAATCACCGCACTGCTCAAATTTACAATCAAGACATTTAATGCAATCATGAGAACTGTGAACTAAACACTCATTGCAGTATCTATTATTTCGACAATAGAAACATTTACTACAATGATAAGTATTCGATTCCATATTTGATTTCACTTTATAAAATGTGAAGTGTTATGAAATGATAGAAAACAAACGAGAAATGATGTATAGTAATTACGTATCGGTCATAAATAACATGTACATGCATTCATTACGACTTTTAAAATTTCTTAAAATTGGTTGCATGTACTTGTACTTGTTGTAAGCAATACTACATCTAATTATTGTTTATTCAAAATTAAATGTTCTACTTGTCGTTACAATATAAAAATAAAATTATTGCTATAAATGTGCTAATTTTTCTAAATGCGCTAACTTGACATTGTTTGTTTTGGTATGTTTTAATAATTTTATAATGTTATTTTGTTTGTTAGTTATTATATATTTTATTCTTATGTTGTTTGTTCCAGATGAAATGACAAAGTACTGTTATACACAATTCAAAGGTTAGATTTACTAAAGAATTGAGGAATAATTGAGGAAACACTGGTCGAACAGGATAGATTTCACTTGTAGTCTAAAGTAAAGTAAAAAAATATGTATGGAAATGCAACTTTTTGACAAATTAACCCAGTTTTGCATTCGATTTTAACAAGATATACTCAGATATCAGTTATATCAATATCATGGTATAGTTATTTAGGTAGCTTTTGTTATGGTTATACTGCAGTTTGAAATCAATAAGAGTAATCTATGTCTAGGGCAGAGTATTTATTTCTTAGTCACTAAGCTTGGAATTGCTAAATAAAACACGAGTTATTGATGATTTATCAGTTTTTTGGCACAAAAAAATTTGGATCGGTGAATTAAAAACGAGTGATTACCAAGACATTATTGTTTTATGGCAAAAAATTGTCGAAAATGCAACTTTTTTTGAAATAAATTGGGCAAATCTAAGTAGTAAATAAATAGTATTTTATAATTTTTAGTATTACTTAGTCCTGGTTTATCCAAGATGGAATCTACTCTGTGTAACTAGAAGTAACAAAAGTTGTGAGCTAGACTGAATGATTTTACACATACATATTGGGATCAAAAGTAAATAATTTTAAGGTAGCAAATAATATTCAATTCCAAATAACTAAATTAGGTTTATTTCAAACAATAATAATATTAGTCTCAAAAATAATCAAATAATCCTCAAAACAAAAAAGCCAAAGAATAAAGTACAGATTATTTTATAATTTGTTAAATGGATTAAAAACTCATCATAACGCGTTGTGATAAATGAATTAATTTTTTTTTCATGATCTATATTGACGTGAATGTAAAAAAAAACAATGACCTTGGCCAGTAACGATAATTAACATTAACATGTTGAAACTTATCGTTATATAAAAATTCAAAGAATGCTCTCTAAATTTTTTATAGTTCTATTGATGTATTTTAATTTGGATTTCTACACAGTAGCGGTAGCACAAAAATGGGTGTACAAACAAGTTTAGTACATGCAACGATAATTAACTTTAACATGTTGAAACTTATCATTATATAAAAATGCAGAGAATGTTCTCTAAATTTTTCATCAAAAATAGATACTGCGATAAGTGTTTTAATTCACAATATTCATGATTGTTGCGATGTGTCTCAAATATCACAAACAAAATTATTGATGATGATGGAGAAAATTGTAAACAAATAAAAATGTAATATCAAATATATGTCATCGATGATCGCATTTACATCATTTGCAAGATATCCATGATCACTATTAATAATGATTTTTTTCCAACGTATATAATATTAATACTGTGGGAATAATATAAATTCCAATAGTGATATAATACATCAAACATACTGTGGG